CAGATAATTATATGAGAACATCCTTCTTGTTAAAAGACTGTTTTCAACGTCCTTCTTAGGAACTCGTGTGATCTTTGAGGGAGATAAAGGTATGGAACAAATAAGAGAAATAGGTAGTTGAAAGGGCTGCCAGCCCAATTTAGGAATAGCTGGAAGTAAAATTGTTGTGTGAGCCTCGTTACACTGGCAAATTACAATGCTCTCTAGTACGGAATACCCTGATTATTTTTCAAAACTTGCATGAGATTTTGTACAAGAAATAAATTTTCTTGGCAGTGACTTGCCTATAGATTCTAGTAAAAACCCTCAATTTTCTCTGTGCTGCCCCGCAGCCCTGCTTGCCCCTGCGCTAGTTGAAATCTTTTCTCTCTCCCACAGCTTTCCCTCCTCCACCATCAGCTGATGATCTCACTTCTTAGTCCTCTAAGAAAACAGAATCACTCAGACAAGGACACCCCACATTTCCCACCACCACCATCCAGCCTCCCTGCCCGTCCCCACCATAACTTCCCTGTGTTGCTAGGGATGAACCAGCCCTCCCCCTTAAATAAGGCTCACTCTCTGACTCCAGCACTTCACTCCCCTAGTTATCCCTCCTCTTTACATCAACTGTTTGCCCCTCTTGACAGGACTATTCTCACCGAGCTCTAATTTCTCACAGGACCCTCTACCTATTTCCCCGTTTTCTCTCTCATAGCAAAGCTCCTCTAAAGAGCGGTCTGCACGTGTTGCCTCCACGTCCTCGCCCTCTCTCTCTCAAACCCACTCTAGCAGGGTTAGTCACTACCACTCCTTTCTGTCAAAGACATCAAATTTAAAAGTCAGTGATGTGTTTTCATCTTATTTGACCCATCAGCAGCATTGGCACAACCAAGTACTCTCTGCTTCTCAAAACATTCTCTTTTCTCTTCTTCTTTTCTTCATCTTCTGGCCTCTAAACGTTAGAGTGCCCCAGATCTCAATCCTCAGATTTCTTCTCTTCCCTACCCATGTTCCCAGATTCTCTATGTTGATGACACAGATTTCTATCTCTAGTCTGGATTTCTCTCCTGAAGTTCAGATGCCCATGTCTAATTGCCTGTTCAACTTTTCCACTTAGATGTCTGATGGGCATCAGAAAGTTACTATATCCAAACCCAAACACCAGAGCTTTCCCCACATACCTGCTCCTCCTCATATCATTAAGTAGAATCGCCATCATCACCTGATCAGACCAAAATCCATAATTTCCTTTGACTCCTCTTTCTCTCATATCCCACAATTGAATTAGTAAGTCCTGTCTGGTTTATTTTGAATATATATCTAGATTCCATTTACAGTTATCATAGTAGTCCCAATTACCATCACCTCTCTTTTAGTCTATTTCTATTCCTCTACCTGGTCTCTGGGCTTCCACTCGTGTACTTCCATCCACTGAACACACAGGATGCTCTTTTAGAAGTCAACGCCAGGTCATGCATGTCCTTTCTCTAAAGAAACCCAGATAAATGTCTTCCATTTCCCCCTAAAATATAATAAGCCTGTTGGATATCCCTCTGGCATCCTTTCCTGCTAGTCATCTTCTAGCTCTTCTGCATTAAACACAGTGACCTCTTTGCTGTCCCTCGAGCATGCCAAGTTTAATCTACCCCAGGGCCTTTGCGCTTGCTTTTCTTCATACCTAAAAAGATTTCTCCCAATATAGCTACAGAACTCTTCCCACAACTTCCTTCCTATCTCTGCTCAATGTCCTCTCCTCAGGGATGTCTTCCCTGACCCAAACACTCCATCTAAAAATAGCCACACCCCTGTCACTCCTGAGCTCCTTACTTTGCTTTCACAGCTCTCCTCACCTCCATACCCTACATGGTATGTGATAACATATCAGATAGATAGATAGATAGATAGATAGATAGATAGATAGATAGATAGATGATAGGTAGGTAGATAGATAGGAAAGGCTTACTATCTGTCTCCCTCCTCATCCCAATGTCATCACTAACTTAAGAATTCTACATCCCACCTTGTAGAACAGCACCTGCTACATAAGAGGTGGCTCAACAATTGTTGAACAAATCACCACTTGAAATTATTCAAATTTCATCAGTTCTCCCAAGTGTCACCAGTGCCATACTAGCTGAGGTTTAATGGCTAAGGTACACTTCAAAACCTCTGGGTTTTAAATAATAAGCTTCAGTTATAATTCTGAGGAATGCTTCCAATGAGTAAAATTCAGTTTCTTCTTAACAGAACTTCCTTCACTATGTTGGCTCCACCTGACTTTGGCATTCTCCCTCTAAACATCCCACTCTGATCTCCCTCATTGGCTGCTAACTTTGCCCTGCTATGTCTTACTCAAGGTACCACATTTAAAATTCTGCCTACTATCCTGCCTACATCATCAGATACTGTAACAGGATGCTGGGGAGCAAGAAAATTGAAGACCCCAGAACTGCTTGCTTCTTTCTTTTGTCTTCCTCTCCTTCTCTTGTTGTTTCCAGGATATTTTAATTTTTCCTATTTTATAAAATCAAGGTGATTTATAGAAATAAAATTTATGGACTTCAATGCTATCATACAAAGTTATCGTCTTAGAAATTATATCCTGCTTAGGAATGTATTACAGATGCGGTCCATGTTCTGGACCAGCAAACACATGTAATTATGCAGGAAAAGTATATCGGAGAAGGTTGACTGTTGCAGGCATGGGAAATAAGTTGACCTCTACTCAAGTTACTGCCATGAATACACAGAAGGAAGGACCTGCATCTGTTTCTCATTGTAAATGCCTGAAGTGCCCAGAGCAGCACCACAAACCCGGGAATGGCCAGCAAACATTCTCGACGAGGGTGCTAAGGCTGACTACAGCCTCCTCTCTGTGGTCACACTGTTAAAACAGTGTCCAGTACTTGACTTACCACCCTAAGTGCATATCACTCTGAATATGTTTTACAGGATTTAACTCAAATAACCCACTTCTAAATTTGATAATAAAATGAAAGAATTAACCCCCTACTGGACTTTAAGCTCCTCTAAGGCAAAGATTTTGTCGTATTCCCAGCCACAGAGGCACATGATTGCAGCACTGGATGTGGTCTTCGAGGTCAACTAGTCCTAATTCAACCTCCTTGAATGAGTAGGTAATACAACCTATCATGGTTGCATTCGGGTTTTTTCATCTCTAATTGCTGTCCCATCTCATACTTAAGGATTTCAAACTGAAAATGCACCAGTTTGCGTCTTTGGCAAGTGAACTGAAATGACCACATAGCCTTTGTTATATCCACTTGGGACCAGAAACAAGGTGGCAAGGTCAGCTTGCAGCAGCATCGCCCCCCCTGCCCGCCCCCCCCCCCCCGCGTCCCTCCTCCCTTCCCCAATGCTGATGCGCCCAATTCCACTCACAGCCAGGCAGCTGCTTGAAAAGAAATGAATTTACATGACACTCTTAGGGATCTTCTCAAGCCTGGCTCTTGTGAGAAAAACATGTAGTGGTGCTTATTAAAATGCATAAAGTTATCACATTGACACACACATACTTACAAGAATGATGAATACAGAAACATCACCATCCATCAGATTCTAAGAACTGGCCTCACCAGGGCAGACCAGGCATCAGTATTCTCTGTCCTTGTCAGGAGGCCAGACAGGAACCTCAGAAGCAGGGTGCTCCATCAAAAAGGGCCCCAGACTCCCAGTCAGGGCACCCATCTCTGAGACTTTTCCTCACCTGAAAACTGGAGAGGTGAGCAGAGAAAATCACCCAGTGGGGGTAATAGACCAACACACGGTGGCTCTGCTATGCTGTTAAAAAAAAAAAAAAAAAGAGCTTGGCCCCTCAGCTTCCTTTTCACCATCGCTTAGCTTTCCACACTGACATTCAAAATGGGGCCTTTTAAAACTGTCTTCGCAGGAAGGTGGTTCAAAGCAACACTTTGGCTGATAGCACAAGGCCCCCAGGGCAGCGCTTCACTGCTTCCTCAGCACATGCCAGCGCCCATTTTACAGGGGGGATTTATGGTCCTTCTCTCAGTAGAGCGAGTCAAAGTTTTATAATATTCATTAAAAATCAGCACCGCACGTAATAATATGGAATACTGCCTGCACACAGGGGGGCCGAGTTATAGGTGTTCAGGGAAACGCGGCATAATTTCCTGGCCTTGGCGGGGTAAATGTGCAGGCACCAGCATTATACTAACACAACCGTCTTTTATTGCAAATGTTCGTTCAGTCTAAGCCCTAATTACTTTCTGTAAAATCTTAACCACCATCAGGCTTTCTTCTGACAGGACAGCCGCACGATGGCCTTCAAGTGCAGGAGCGACACCCAGGCAGCCTCCAGAGCGAGAGGCAGGAGAGAGCTGGACCCCTGTAGAGCTGGAGGCTGAAGCTGGGGAGACGGGCTTTTCACTGACGCTCGGAAACTTCTTGCTCCCCCTCTAAAACCCTGGTGTGGGGGCTTAGAGGCGCCCTCGGTGGGGCACACTGAGGCCCTCCACCAGCATCCAAAGATCCCCATCCATATCGGGCCAGGAGCTACTCTTCTTCGCCCCATCCCCACCCCAAAGGGTCAGCTTTGTGGGGACCCGTGTTGCATCTTTTCTTGTCCCTCCTGGGAAACGCTAGAACACGCAGCAACCCTCGGTTTGGAGGTCTGGCTCCCTTTCCAGAGTGTTGTGTGCCCAGAGCTCTGCCCCATTCGTTCGTGCCACACACCAGCCCTCACCACACCACACGCCACACGACCCCAGCCCTTGCCTTTCAACGCCCCCCACAAGAGTCCCGGGCCGGGCTGGACGGAGCCAGATGGTCAGCTGGGCCCGGAGCAGGGGGCTCTCCCGGCCGCGCGGCCACACAAAGCGGGGAGAGCCGCGGCGGCGGCGGTGTGAGGCGCGCCCCCTCCCGCGAGCCGGCGGAGCGCGCGTGCCCGCCCCCGCCCCCGCCCCCGCCCCCCGCCCCGCGCCCCGCGCCCCGCGCCCGGGCCCTCGGAGCGCCATTCGCGGAGCGGCTTACGCTAGTCGCCAGGCGTACGGCGCCCCAGCGGCCGGGGTGGTGCGCTGCCCGGCTCCCGTAAAGTTATTGTGAATGGGGAGCGGTGACGTCAGCGCCCGAATGTCAACAATGTAGCGATTGAGAGTGTGGGCGTTCCGGGGAGAGCGCGAGCCGCGCGCGGAGCAAACAGCGCCGAGCCGCCGCCGCCTCAGCAGCCGCCGCCGCCGCGACCGTGCACGCTCGGGCTCCGATCGCAGCAGCGCCAGCGCCAGCGCCAGCGCCCGCCGCCGCCCTCGCCGCCCGCCTGCCCACTCCCGCGGCCGCCGGGCTCTCGCGCTCCCCCGACCTGCCCTCGACCCTTCCCCTCCCCCCTCCCGGCACACTCGGGGAGCTGGGAACCAGCTGCCATGTGATGCGCGTCCTCTCCTCCAGCTTTCGGTGACCCCCGAACCGCCCACCGCGCCGGCCGCCGGGAGGGGGCTGCGGGCTGGGAAGACGCAGAGAAGAGGAGGCGGAAAAGGACGCAAAGTTCTCTGGCGAGGTGAGTCCCCGGGCCCGGGCCCGGCGCCGGGCGGGGTGGCGGGGTGGCGGGGCAAGTTTGAGGGGGCAGTGGGTGCGCGAGGAGGCGTGGGGAAGCGGCGCAGGAAGGGAGCCGCGGTCTCCCGGCGCGCAGCCGCCGGCCGAGCGCCCTGCCGCTTTTATGGCATTTTCTAGGAACGGGAAGGCGGTGGGAGCCGAGCGGGCGGACGCGCCGCAGCGACCGTGCGCTCCCTCGCCTGGCTGTTTACGGCGGGCGAGGCGGCATTGTATTTTGTTCGCGTCGACGGGTGTTTTGGAACAGTAGGGGGAGGAGGAGCAGAGGGTAATAAGTCAGGCGTGGGGAGGGCGGGCTGGAGGGAGGCGCGCGTCTGCGGGAGCCGGAGCAGCTGTCAGACCCACGGCCCTGCTCCCGGCCCGGCGAGGCCCGGACGCCCCGGTCCCCGGACCGCGATTTCCTCGCGGGGCCGGATGGCCTCCAACCTGCCTGCCGCGTCGGTGCCCGGGACTGCTCCGTGAGCACCGCGGCCGCCGCGCTTTTGCGCTCAGCTGTCAGTTGCCGCGGGGTATCCGGAACCCCTGAGACTGGCGGGGCATCGAAGCCCAAGTTTAGAGTCCCGAGAAGAGTCACGTTGGGGCCTCGCAGCGCAGACCTCGGACCGCACGCTGCGTGGAACCCCTCCTAGCCAATGGCCAGGTTATCGGAATGCGTCCCTGAGCAGGCAAACCGAGAGGCTCGTGCCATCAGAGAGGGACATCTTGCAAGATCCTGCATGAAATCAAAGTGCAACACACACCCCCTTCTCTCTCCACACACACTTCAGTCTACAAGCCCCAGCAGCGCAATCTAAGGAAAGGGGCTTATCCAGGGGACACCTTTCCATCTCCCCCTGTGGAGGCGCCGCGTGGGTCTCACCCGGTGGGTGCTCTGGCGCCGAGCGCCCCTGGAGAGGGCGGTGGGCGGTGGGCGGCGCTCATGGACTACCCCAGCTGCCCACGAGAGGGGACTCTAGCGAGCTTCTCGGTGACCTCGGTCTGGCCGAGGATTTGCAGGAACTCGGACCGCGGGAGGAAGCTGGCAGGGCCGGGTGTGTGTCTATGAAAGCCGCCGCGCTCCCCTGACTTAGTGGGTCGCGGATACGCGGGGTGTCCCCAGCACTCTTTCGTGTGTGGGCGAGTTTGACAACTTGGGGGAAGTTGGAGCCCAGCGCTGTCGGGATGGTGTAGTCTGTGGCCCGAGAAGGCGCTCCTCGCAGCTCGGAGACCCGCGGCCCCTGGGAAACCAGCGGGACGAGGCTACTTCGCCCCGACAGACTCCCCGGGGACCCGCGGATGGCGAAACGCGGCGCTCCTCGGTTTTCACTTTCTGTATGGTGCGGCCGTCCCTCGCTCTCCGTGTAAACGTAATCTGTTGAGTCTAAGAAGGGTAATTGCTTTAGATAAAAATCCTTTCCTGCCTAGTGGGAACCTTGGCGGAGATGACGCCTAATGAGGTATTTTGCGTTTGTCTGTTGAGAGTAAAATTAGAGATGTTCACTGATAGCGGTTTTCTCCGGTCGCTAAAATGTGGCATGTAGGACAGGCGTGTCGAGCTGCGAAGGCTCCGGCTGACATGAAGGAGGCTGAGCGGGAAAGGCTGCGGCTCCTTCGGCGGAGAGGGCTGTTCTGGTGAGACAGAAAAAGTCTTGCTTAAAATGTGAGATTGCCCCACCCAGCTTCTCCAGCAGCGCTCCAGTAAGCGGCATTTTTCATTCTTGCAGGTAATAATAAACGGGAGTCAAAATGACATCTTGTTAGAATTAGTCTTTAGTCTGTGAGAGCGATTGCTAAATTACAGTGTTGCCTTCAGACTGCTCCAGTGAAAGGCCTGTCAGCATTTCCATTATAAATTCAGTTTTTAGGAGTTTATAATATCACCACAGAACTTTGAGTGACTGAAATGTTGAGTGTGGTTTTTGTTGTTGTTTTTTTTTTCCCTTCTAGTGTTCTGGTTTTAAAAATGCACTGGGGGGAAAAAATGCATTGATTGCCCACTTCCATCCTATTTGCTATTCCGGAAACTTCAATATCATTCAAACAGGAGTCCCAGAAATGGAAGGCGCAATCATGGAATAAAGTACTTTTGTTAAAGCATACTTTATTTGTGTAGAGCAGTAATTTCATTCTGGATTTTGGAAGGCTTTTAGGTTTGCCATTTGGTAATCATAAATGTGTTGAGTTGATTCTTCTGGTATCTGTCGACTCTGCAGGTGGATTGAAATGCCAGTTCGCATTGTATATGCCAGGGTTATATTGAGAAACAGTCTCCTCATATATGCGTATGTCTGAACTCATCGCTGAATTATGAACACTCCTGTTAGTTACTTCTCAGTTCTTTGTGTGTTGCCTGTGATGATCTGCCATAGAGAAGGAGTAAGGCAGAAAGGGAGGGAGGGAATCTGGACACCTTCCCCTCCCCCCACTCACTTTTCAGTATTACTAGTGGCTGGGAGAAAGCCATTTATTCTTTCTATTGAATTATGCCTTTAAGTCAGTGTCTTCAGGCAAGTCCCTCACCTCTAGCTGCTGTGTGAGGGGCTTAATTATTTGCAAACTGCCTTGAAATCCCTGGATGAAAGGCACTGCCTAAGTGCAGAGTATTGTTATTCAGATATGGAATTTAATGATCCATTACAGTTCATCAGGAAAATGCACTTTGCAGTGATGGTAGGAAATGTTTCTACCTGATAGAGGGTAATAATAACTGCTTAAAAGTGGGTTCAGATTACGGATGAGACAATTAACTCTAGCCATGTGCTCTTCAATTTGTTGCAATTCATTTTGTGATCAAAGTGAGTCACAGAGAGCCAGATGGTCAGGTTCATGTTCAGATCGCTCCTAGACCAGCCCTTCACTTCTGGGCCCGCTGTCTGCACAGCCAAGGGGACTTCTTCATTAGTGCTAGTGAATTTGTGATCAAGGCTCCAGCGATGCCAACAAAAGGGCTCAGATCAATCTGTACTGTTGGGAGCAGTTTAATTTTGCTTGGATTAACTTGTGCTTCGTGTCCCTGGTACGGATCCAGCCTTCACCAGGGAAGAGAGAGCTCCCAGTGGCTCTCCAGCTCAGCTGTGCAGGGGACCACTGCCCTACTTTTTGTACCTGAGATTTCAGGGGCTACGGTGTCTGCCTTGTTGTAAATGCTGGCTGATGCTGAATGAAAGACAGAACGCTTAGATAACTAAATACCCTCCCTGTTTGGCTGAGGGGGTGGGAAGCAGGACCAGCTTCATGGACATGTGACCTGCACCATTGCACAGAGCTCCTCCTCCCCCTCATCTGCTCCGGAGGACCTCACGCTGGATTTAATCTTCCGCTGTTGTCTTCTTGAAATCTTTGATAATTCTTGAGCATGGAGTCATTCATTTTCATCTTTCACTGGTCCTGGTGAGGGAGGGGGCATAGGGTGGAGTGGCAGGTAACCGATACTCTGTCCCAGCTTCTTTTTGTTGACTGTTGCCAGGCAGGAATGGGTAGGAATACTGGCTTCATGTTGCTACATTGTCTGATTTTTTTCCAAGGGAAGTTGGATATCTAGACTTTTATGTGGAATCCCCTGATTTTTTAAAATATTGGATCAAAAATTTTAAAATGCTGGATGAGAACATTTAATGGGCTAATACATCTTATTGTTTAATATTTCTGTATGTAGCCATTTTCTAAAGGCCTGGCACATAGTAGATGATTTGTAAGTCTCCACTAAGTGAATGATTACAGCTATTGGGGAAATTGAAAGATATAAGAAAAGCAAAACTTGAATCAACATTGAGTCCCACTCAGGAATTGATAGCTTTCTTTTTAACAGAGAATACATACAAGTTGAAAGACCAAAAATTAATACCAGGGGTGGCACCATAGGGTCCTCTGCAGGTAAATCATTCACTGCTTTTAAACCATCTGCCCTCTGTTTAGTTGTTATAGACCAGATGGGGTACCTTGGCTATTTAATGCCTGAGGATCTCCATGAAAATTTGACATTTGAAAACACCCACTAAAATAATATCCATGATTTATGGAATGCTCACCATGTGCCAGAAACAGTGCTAACAACTCTACCTACTTGTAACTCATTGACTCCTCACAGCAATGCTGTGAAGTAGCCATGGTGCCTATTCTGCAGAAGAGGAACCTTTTCATTATATGTTGAAAAGAATGTCATCAAAATGGAATGAGTATTTTCTTGACCAGTTCTCAACCTGTGGGTCGCAACCCTTTGGGGGTCGAATGACCCTTTCACAGAGGTCGCCTAAGACCATCGGAAAAGACATATAATTACATATTGTTTTTGTGATTAATCACTATGCTTCAATTACGTTCAATTTGTAACAATGAAATTGGGGGTCACCACAACATGAGGAACTGTACTAAAGGGTCGCGGCATTAGGAAGGTTGAGAACCACTTGTCTAAGGGATATTTGTCATCCTATATGCACAATCTACCCCTGAGGTAATTAATGACTGGGCGTGGGGTAGAGACCATAGCATATAGAGAACCTAGTCCCTACCCTGATGTACAAGAAACAGAAAATAAAAGATGAACAGATTTGTCAAAATCTGCAATTTAGACAGCAATCACTACTTCTGCCTCCCTGTGCCTCTCCTTTCTCTATCTGGATAGCCAAGAAGCTCCAGTGACACATGACCCTATCAGAGACACCAGCAACTCAGAAGTCAGGGCTGGCTGCAAGAATTGGCATTTCCCCGGAAAAGGAGCTCACTTTTGGCACCCCTGGAGCTGGGTTAGGACAAGCAGCACCGAGGCCTGGGGAACGACGAAAATTGCTCCTGGATTACCAGTGACAGCGTGTGACCTATTCCTGTCCCAGCTTTACATTTTACGTAAATATTTACAAATTGTTCAAGGCCCACCTGAAACCTGACGTGGACTAAGCATTTGGTAAACTCAGTAAGATTGCCCAGAATATTACTCATTTTTTGGTTGGGTTTCTGGGGTGACATTTAGTAGAAAAGTAGTTCTTTCTTTGTCAATTCAACTTTTCCTGTCCTTTCTTGTTAATTTCAAATGTCAGTCTACCTGAAACGGAAACTTAACCTTTCCATCAGCATGCTGCTCCGCTTCCCCGAAGCTGGAAGTATCCTCAGAGTCACCACCTTGTCCTTTTCAAGGACCATTTCTTTTCTAAAGAATATGGGAATTGAACCTTGTCCTGCTAGTGGCACTGCTTCAAAATTCAGGCAGGAATTTCGCCTTTGTTTTCCCTGAGCTATTTTTTTCCAAAATAATAAATCTCCCCAATCTGAAAGCATTTCACGTACTCGTTCATTGTAGTCATTGGAATTACAGCCAAAATGTCTCAGTCTTCCCCAGTGACTTCATAATCACCATTTCTCCAGCTATTCCCTGGTTAACTTCTCTTTTGTTCCTTAGCCTGATAATAAATTGTCCTTTGGTTCTGAGATGTGTGCCTTTCCTCCCTGACCCTTTTGTGCCTCTCCTGAAGGATGAAGGCTGTAGGACACACTGATGCCTCCGAGAGCGGGCGCTTGGTTACAAGCTCCCTCCCATCCTTGTGTCAGTTTTCATTTTCTTCCGAGCATGTAAATCCTGCACGTCCCAGGCCTCCCCTCCTTCTTGTTACTGTCTTCATTCCTTCCGGAGCCTGCAGCTGGCTCCGGGTTAGCATCGGAAGAAAGCTTTTTGCGTTTCCAAACCCTCCATCGGTTCCAGTCTCGCATCATCCTTCTCTGTCCCCTCACTTTCTGCAGATGCTTCTGGAGTTTCTTCAGGACTCTCTGCGAGTCTAACCCACAGATGGCTTAGCCAGTGATGGCGAACCTGTGACATGCATGTCAGAGGTGACACGCGAACTCATTTTTTTGGTTGATTTTTCTTTGTTAAATGGCATTTACATATATAAAATAAATATCAAAAATATAAGTCTTTGTTTTACTATGGTTGCAAATATAAAAAATTTCTATACAGTGGGGCCTTGACTTACGAGTTTAATTCGTTCCGTGACGGAGTTCGTAACTCAAATTACTCGTGTGTCAAATCAAAAAGTGAACGAGTGAGACACATGATGCTGGGCTGATGTGGCGTTCACTTTGACGTTCACTGCGCCAACTAGCGGTGGGGTATCTGAAGCTGGCTCATAACCCGAATTTTAGCTCGCAACTCAAAGCAAAAAATCGGCCGAGAGACGGCTCGTATCTCGAAAAACTCGTTAGTCGGGACACTCGTAAGTCAAGGCCCCACTGTATGTGACACGGCACCAGAGTTAAGTTAGGGTTTTTCAAAATGCTGACACACCGAGCTCAAAAGGTTCACCATCACTGGGTTAGACTCTCACCTTGGAGTTTAGAGAGGAGAGAGCCCAGCTTGCTTATTTGCTTATTTCCATTCAGTAAATAGGAAAGCAAAGAGAAGGAACACACTCAGCAAGGGTCCTTAGTATCCCAGTATCCACAGATAGTTGGCTGTTTTTGTTTCCTTCCCATCCTGTATTCTCTTAAGCAGCGGGAGTTAATGGGTACCACCAAATGGGCCGCGTGTCCAGAAATTCCATTCTTTAGAGCAGTGGTTCTCAACGTCCCTAATGTCACGACCCTTTAATACAGTTCCTCATGTTGTGGTGACCCCCAACCATAAAATTATTTTCGTTGCTACTTCATAACTGTAATGTTGCTACTGTTATGACTCGTAATGTAAATATCTGATATGCAGGATGTATTTTCATTGTTACAAATTGAACATAATTAA